GTAGATCTAGAAGCCTGTACTTTAGAAAGGGGGCTAGGGTTCCTATGTGAAGATGATGCCCTTAAAGCGAGCAATGTTTGCTTTGATGCCAAGGAGGGTATGTGCCCCACCCTTTTGAGATCAATCCGCAGAGTAATACAAAAAACTGCATTAGCTTATGTTGGGGAAAGGATGTGTGTGTTTTAGAACAAGGTGTAAATACGTGCTAATTAATGAAATTTATAACCAGACTGTGTTTACTGGCTCTTAATACATGTGCTTGCAGTGTAGTTATTATTAGGGGCTTAATTGATATTTTAAGTGGCTTACATTAAACAAATTTGCTACTCTTAACTTATGTTCGTGGCTGAAATATGTACTAAAAGCTTCCTGACTGTAAGGAGAGACCACTATTTAACAAAAATGTTCCCATTATCATCTACAAACAATAGAGCCGAATGCCTCTACCCCTACAGAAAAAAAGTATTTTTCTACATATTGAAATACTGTTCAAAATATATAGTTCAATTCTCTCCTCCTCTGATCAAACTATTATTTTCCGTGGTCCTCCCCTATCTTAGTGATTTCCCTCCTCCTCTCATATTTCATATATCAATATGAAATGTAAGAACGGAAGGGGTTTTTTTCCATTCATATAGTAGGGATAAGAGACTGGGTAGGATGCAGGCAAGCTGGTGCTTTTTGATTAAATTTGCTGACTTTTGATTCTTTGCTTCCTCAGATATGGAACTATACGGCTAATGATACAGGAGAAAAAAAAAAAGCCACAAGACAACCAACCACACCCACTCATTTGCCAAGAGGTCAATTAACCTAGCAATTTGCAGGGGGAGAGGAAGTTATTTAAATTGAATTTTTGATCCTCTGGTGCAGATTTAAGTGACAACATCAAGAAAACTAGTAAGGTGCAAAACTAGCAAAAAATAAGATGTACATAATTCTTAAGTAATCTATAGATAAAAGGACTGATAATTAATCTTAATGAAGTGCATATTCCCATAACTTATCTTGTAATACAATATTGAAAAACATTAGAAGTATTCTAACTTTCCTCAGACTGTTTAGCAAAGCAAACAGGAAAAACAAACAAACAAAAAACCCCACAAATATAAGTAAGTTAGTTCTCCCACCCCTAAGAGTTCTCAAATGTACCACTTATGATCCCCGAGATATTACTGAAGGAACCTTCTTTACATTCCCTTATTCTCATGCTGAATTAAGAAATCTACCCTACTAAATACAAAAATAAATTTATAATTGTTCCTCCATTTTGTTCTGATGGACAACACAGCATACTTGCAGACAAATAAATAGGATAAAACTAGATAACTTTCCTGTAGCTTCAGATTCCAATTGGCTTTATCTTTCTACAGAAAGACATTTACCATTGAAACAGAAACTTGTTAGAAAACACAAAGGTGTTGCAAAAGTGTTGCTGCTGGCATTTCATCTGAGTATATGAATCCATCCCGAAATCTGCAACACTGGAGATCCCAGCAAAAAGACAGTTTTGCAATTCTATAGGAGATAACTTGGATAAAGTCCAGGTAAGAAGTTCTGCTTTAAAGCTACTCCTACAAAAATGAGATTATCCGACAAGTGATATTATAGCTAGCTTTCAGCAAACATTTTATTTTTGATAAAGCTGGGCCTTAGACATCATGAACAAATCCTGAATTCTATCAATCACAGCAAATTTACCTGCTGTAGTTTGGGGATGAGATTTGTTTAATCTGTGCAGTGCATTTGACAGCAAAACTTTTAAGAACTGTAGCAATAGAGATACTCACCTTTAAATCTATACTCAGTCTGACTGACTTAAGTTTGAAGTTGATCATAAAAGAAAAGGGTTTAAGGATATGTACTTGTGTAAGCAATAAAATTAAACTGATAGATACAAGATAAGAATCTTGCTTTCAGAACATACACCTACCTTGTACAACCCAATGCCAGGATCTATAAGAGATGAGTGAGTTGATGTAGATGGCTGATTTGGTGATCTGCTGCTTGTTGCTCTTTTGACTTTGTTTTTACAGTTGGGAACAGCACAGGGATTGACCTCTCCATCCTGATTTGCCAGAGAAGTAGTGGGAGCTTCAGATTCAGAACGTATCAAAAGCTGAACTATGTCATTTAGTCCAACATCATAGTCAAATAAAGTGTGTCCATCTTCCAGCTGTCAAAACAAACAAACAAACAAAGAAACCACACACACACACTTTATATTGGTCAAGTTCCACCTTGATACAAGTATATGGCCCTCCCTCTTAGAGGGAAAATAATTTCACAGACCAGAAATCTGCTTCAAAGTTGAAGTCAGCTACAAGCCATGTATTTCAGGTAAATCTATAAAATCCTGCATCTTGAGTAAACTCAACAGCAACTCCTATCAAGCTATCTGGAGCACAATTTCCAGCCAAGGAGATCTCTCATAGACTTAAATACATGCATCTTTATAGACTCTAGATGTTTTAATCATGGACTGATATTTAAGGCACTGCAGGTATTTTCTATTTAGACCACAGTTAGAAACTATATTGTCTCTTATGCCATTATAGAATACTCACGGGTAAACATATATTTTTAAAATTATTAACAATCAATGTTTTGTGTACATTAAGTAATTTTGTAACTTGCTCTTTCCTGTTCTTCTCTAAGAAGCAATTCTAGTAGATATTTCCTTAGTATTTCACATACTATTTTCTAATTAAAACATCTAGGCATAACCTCCCCCCCAAATATTACCATTTACTTTTAGAACAAGATCTTAAAAGTACTCTGCAAAATTACATTTAGAGAAGGGCTACAGCAGAAATGCAGAAATACATACTGGATCTTTAAGGTCTTGCAAAGAATTCTCCTGAACTTAGAGCACTCAAAAATTGTTGCATAAATCTGGAATAGCTTCAAGTATATATATTTTTCCAAGAAATATATATTTTTATATAAATATTTTTTCAGGAATATATACATTTATCTATATAGAATGTTGTTAAAATGCAGTTCAATTGCAGTACACCAAAAAAAGTGTGTATTCAAGTGATTTATCACTGCATCACCTGTTCTTGCTAATGCCTATTTAAACTATGTAGGAGCTAGTCAACTCTCAAAATTCAATAAATAGTAAATCCATTAGAAAATTAAATCTTCAGATGTTAGAAGAACAGCAAGAATGTATTTAAAAAAATACTAAAGACTCTACTAAAACTCTAAAGACTTTTTACCTTCTAAGCAGGATGCAGCATTCATCAATATGATACTCAGGGCAAAAATATCTGTTTCTGGTATGAGCAAAAACAAGCTCCTAGAATACTAGCAAAGGTGTAAACTTAGAGCAAATTGATTTCTGTGTAATCTGCAACAGTGCCCACCTTTGTAGACAATAAAGGAGAATTTTCATGAAAGGCAGGTCCTGCCTGACCAACCTGAGCTCCTTCTATGACCGTGTGACCCGCCTAGTGGATGAGGGAAAGGCTGTGGATGTGGTCTACTTAGCCTTCAGTAAGGCCTTGGACACCATCTCCCACTGCCTTCTCCTGGAGAAGCTGGCAGCTCACGGCTTAGACAGGTGGACTCTTCGCTGGGTGAAGAACTGGCTGGAAGGCCAGGTCCAGGGAGTGGGGGTGAATGGGGTTAAATCCAGCTGGCGACCGGTCACGGGCGGTGTTCCCCAGGGGTCAGTGTTGGGGCTGCTCCCCTCTCATATCTTTATTGACAATCTGGCTGAGGGGCTTGAGTGCCCCCTCAGCAAATTTGCAGACGACAACAAGCTGGGAGGAAGAGTTGAGCTGCTTCAGGGTAGGAAGGCTCTGCAGAGGGATCTGGGAAAGCTGTATCAATGGGC